TTTAAAAAATATTTTGATGCGATATTATAGTGTCATTTTTACATTTTTGTGAACCTATATGTATACATATAAATATAATATTATAGATAGACTATAATCTACCCGTATGTATGAATCTTTTTGTAACACAGACTTAAAGTTGATAATTTCGTGTTGAGATGGCGCAACTATCGCAGAGATAGGTTATGAGAAGAATTTTCCAATCTATGTTTCATTAATTGAAATTTTGTCAGCTGACTGATGTGCAGTGTGCAGAAATTATTCGCATCTGTTTTTAACCAGCTAATTTTATTGAAATTTGTTACTGTTCCTCAAAATGACGTTTATTAAGGAAAACAGCAGTGTTCTTTTAGTTCTAGATCGTGAAATTTCAGAAAACACCGTTACAGATTTCATAATAGAAGTAAAGAAACCTTTGTGTAATCTCAAGCAGTTGACAATTGTACCGACAAACGAATTAGATACACGTAAGTATTTAACTTTATCTATTGACAACTACTTGATTAAGAAATCTTCAAAAATCAAAAATAAATAAGCATCTTCTTTGAAATAACCTATTAATAGGTTATTATTAACTGATAGTGAAAGTATGGAAGGAAATATTTAGACCATATGTATTATAAATGTACGTATTATTTACAGGTCGTAACAGTGTACCTACTTATGATACAATTATTTCTGTTTTCAAGCAATCATGCCCTAATTATGAAAGATATTTAGAAGATTGTATCAAAGCAATGAAACCAGCTGGTATACTAATTATTTATGAGTCATTTAAAGAAGAAAAAGATGCACAATCTATGTATGACAAAAGAATATCAAATGTAAAATTAGCTGGTTTTAAAGTAAAATCACCTGGAGATATAAATATTGAATTAAAGAATTTGTTACTTGATGTATACAAAGACATAGATGATGTGTCTGAAATAATAGCAGAAAAACCCTCATTTGAAGTAAGTTTTCTTATTATTTGCCTCTACATTATTATAATTGAATACTCTATTTAACATATTTAAAAATTATGTAGATTGGTTCTAGTGTGTCACTTAATTTTGGACAAGCAAAACCCAATATTTGGAAGTTAGACAGTGCTGCTGAGGAAGAATTAATTAATGAAGATGATCTTCTCGATGAAATTGATGTGTTAAAACCTGAAGTTTCAAGTTTGAAAGGTAGACATATTAAAATATTTATATAGTTTATCTGTATAAGTATTAATCATTGTAATTCTGCTTTAGTTTGTAGTACAACAGGTAAACGGAAAGCATGTAAAGATTGCACATGTGGATTGGCTGAGGAACTAAATGGAAGAATCGTAGAAGAGAAAACTGTAAAATCTTCCTGTGGAAATGTATGCAATATCTGACTAATGCTTTATTTACAGGAGGAAGTGTAAATGGAAAAAATTCATAAAAATTTTATATATTTTACAGTGCTACCTTGGTGATGCATTCAGATGTGCCAGTTGCCCCTATTTAGGTATGCCTGCATTTAAACCTGGCGAAAAAATAATGTTACCTGAAAGCCAATTAAGAATGGAGTAATGAAGAATTCTTTGTAAGTTAGATAAAGCCTTTTTTTTGTTTACATGTAACTGTTATTATAGGAATTTCATTATTAATACGTTCAATTACAGTAATTCTATTTGAAATATAAATATTTAAATAATGTATTTCTATAATAAATATATGCAAAACAAATGCTAATATTTAATTCATTTTATTTTCATCTGTATACAATGATGTTTAATTTTCTTGACTGTAATAGAATGATACAAAACATTTCAGATGTAAAGTACTTTTATCATGTTAATAAGAAACATTGTATTTTCAAGACTTAAGTACTATTGAAAGTACTGTAAATTTACAAAGAAATATTAAACATTTTTGGTATGTTTCTACAATACATATCATAAGAACAATAAAATGATTCAAATTTCCGGTATTTATCAACATTATATTAAGTACAAACACAAGAAAAATAACAAAATACATATATTAGCATTCTGTTGTTTGTGGACTATCCAAAAACTCCTCCATACCAGGGAATATAAATATTTCACTAATAAAGTCACTATCCCGTCTCTGGGGATGAGTGCACGCGAAATGCTTACATTCCAAATATAATATTTAACATACATCACTTGTATCATTCTATTCAAACATATTACGCAATTTAACAAATCATACAAACATCTTATACGTAAAACTGTGTACTAAAGTCTAAAAGCAAAGATCACTATGTTTCAAAATCAATAACATTTTCCCTCTGTCAAAATAGTTTTCATTATACGCAGGAACAAAATATAATTGTCATGTACTTAACTTGTTTTGCTTTTCAGACAATAGGAACGTTATTTCATCGGACTAACATACTGAAAACGAAAGATACGAAATTCAGTAGTTAGTGATGAAATAATGAATTGTTTGTCTGTTAAAACGAAAAAACTAGTAACTTATATCAAATGTTAAGTATATGACAACATGCAGCTGCATTACGCCATTGCACCATCATCGTTACTTAACTACAATTTGTTTCTTCTTCCGTTTGTTCACTGTGCCTTTCATTCAGCGCAGTTACAACGCTTTTACTATTAATATATGGTGTTATATAAATTTAATCTGTAAAACTATTCTGAAATAATAATTTCAAATGAACAACAATTATACTATGGCTAAAGTTAATAATTTTACATGTGACTTTGGTACAAATTTAGGTTTAGATTCTAAGTAGCTGTTGTTGTTTAGAATGATTATTTAGTTTAGAACATAAAGAGAGCTGTAGAAAGTACAGTTTGACACTTAAGTATTGGAAGAAGTGATTACACAACATAATGTAATGTGACAGTTTCAGAATGAAACTCATCAGTTGCCCTGTAGAAGCTATTTCTGCTTAAATATGTAATTGTTTATGTCTTAATCCAGAAAATTAAGAAATTACTAGGAATCAATCCAGTTTGCAACAAACTTCGTCATACGTATTGTACTTTCTAGATGTATGAATGTTTGCTATACATGTAAATGATCTTATTAAATCGAGTTGTAAATATCCGATTTTCAAAAGTTCATAACCTACACATATTGTGACCTTTCATGAGTAGCAATGAATTTTTTTCTACATTCAAGAGTTGCACTGTCGCTTTAACTTACAAGCGCTCGTCCCTGTATGTATATATAAAATAACGCTATACAAGATTTATACAAATAGCTGTAGTTCCTTTGTAAATAATGTTACTTATATTACGTTGAATGGCTGTATTAAGTCTGCCTGAACAATATTTTTATGATCTTGATGTATGTAAGCAAATTATGTATAGGTATATTTAATTTTATATAATATAGAATTCGATCTAATACATAATAAAGTACAAGAACAAATGCAAATGTACTCAATGAAATAAGAAAAGTAATAAAATAAATATTTATTTTGGTGGCAATGTAATGATTGACAATTTATTGTGTGAATTATTAAGCTCGATGAATCTTAATAAAAAAATCTCCAATTATTTTGTACAAACACAATGTTTGTTAGAATCTCGTGATCTACAACCCTCTAGGAATGTACTCAATAGTACGTTGAGCAATTATTAAAAGTCTAGCAATTAAGGCAGCTTTTTTCATGTATCCTTCTATTGCAATCAGTTTTCATTTTTAGTGCAATCTGCTTCAAATCGTGTTTCATTACTGTTAAAACATTTACAAGATGAGTGTAAATGTTATAAAAAGAAACTGTTAAGGGAATTAGAAAGTATATATACAATACTTAAGAATTCTCTGTTTCTTCACACACCTATTATTTGTCCACGTTATTAGAAATACAGTGGATCTTAATTGCTTTGTCTTCTCATGAAAAAATATAACAAATATATCTTTAAAAAAAAAGATTAATTTCTTTTGAATAGCTATTTGAAATAATCCTTATATCAACACAACCTCATACATCATATAACATAATTGAGAGTCTTCAAGAAGACCTTTGGTTTTCGTTTGCTGACTGTAATAAATTCAACAATACTACGATACGTTGTGTTATGTACAAACGTCACGTTCTGCGAGGTTAAAATTTCTACGAATTTCAAATGAAATCCGTAAAATCTTCGACAATTAACACATTGAATTATTACTTGATGCTACCATGCAAACTTTTCCATATTATCAAGCAAACAATTTTTTTCTTCTTTCTTAATACCCTTCCTTTCCGGCACAGCAGTACTTAACTTTGGTTCGAAACATGGCTGGAAAAGAACAAAATTTCGAATAGAAATTCAATAAATTCGACTTCCAAACACTTTTAACGATACAAAAAGCATGATCTAATAAATCATACTAAATTCCCGGGATATAGCAAAATGTTAATACTTTCTCTTTATTAGTCTCGTATGTTAGTTTAACTGTAGGAATGTTAATAAATAAAATGTTCCATCTATTTTTAACCATTCTTATTAAATGAGGCAATATAAATGAAACATACGTTTGTTTTTCCAATTTACGAAAAATTTAGTATGATATGATGATTATAGAGAATTGAAGTTTATTTAATATTTTTATGGATATTATTATCATACTTTCAAAAACTTTCTTTTTTGTGCTACATTAAAAACAGTTTATGTCGACAGATCAGATTACACAAAACAGCAAGTAATATAATAAAAAATCATGCATAAACGCATAATAAACTGGTATCAAAAAATTAAGCGATTGACGAGATAAGCAACATATTTGAAAGAAAATACTGTCAAAGTTAATAAGTAATTGATGAATACTATGCTACAGTCTTACAATTTTGTGTTAAATACTGAGTATCTTAGATAATAATAACTTTTAGTTATAAGTATGTGAAAGATATATTAAACTATAAAATTAGATAAACAGTAATACTGTCAGTGTGTTTTGCTCGTTTTCGCAATGTAGGATGTGTATGAACGTCGACTGTATGAAATTTTGTACGTGTATGTAGAAAAAAAATTCGCCACTCATGGTACCGGATTGGTATTGCAAGTCAGATCTAATATTAGTTACTTAAAAGTTAAAATGTTCAGGCCAATGACTAAAACTGTATCATAAATCCATGTCATGCACGTGAATGTGTCTTATGTTTTAACAGATGCTTCACTCACAGTTTCACAGATATTCATGTTGCAGCAGTTCTCTGCATCGAAAATATTTTCGCTGTGATTGCCCGGTCGTCTGCGTAATTTATTCACATAAAAACTAAGTACGATTATTATAACTATAAGTACAGCAGTAAGTACGCCAAAAATGATTAATATTTTGTACTCATTGTGTTCCTTCATTATAACCATTTGTGCACTGGCTTTGTTTGCTTCATCACACCTGCTTATGGAAAGCAATTTTCATTAAAATTCGACAATATGGATGAAAAACAAATTTAATATAAATATGTACCTGCAGTCAATTACACTAGTATATTTAGGAACTGATTCAGTTTTTGCACAATAGATCCCACACACTTTTGTTGTGTTACTGAGATCTTCGCAACGAGATCCTTCTGAATATTTACATTTACAAACTGGTTTTTCATTTTGGACGGAGCACTGACCATCATGCAAACAATAGTCTTTGCATGGGTCAGTTGCGCATCTTGGTCCAACGAATGTACCATTGCATTTACAGATGGGTAATCCATTGTATTCATCTACACTGCAGCTACCTTGGAGGCAGTAATTGTGACAGAGGTCTATCTCACAATATTTACCAGTAAACCTAAAGTATACACATTTATTACCATTTGCATAAAGTTGTGGTTACTTTATCTTCATTAAATATTAATTAAGAATGATAAAATGTGAAAACAGAGGTATAAAATTTAATAATCTGAAGAAAATTACTAATACAATTTAAAATGGTTTTCCTGCATGATATACTTAAGCTATTTTATGTATGACATGATCATTGTTTTTACAACTCTGATTTCTTTACCATGGTATGGCTAGAATTACCATCCATATTACATATCACTGATTTAGCAGTAACTCAGATTTTTCTACAGTTATATTCTTGATTAAACCTCATGATTTTTTTGTCTTGCTTTTAAAAATATTATTTTCTTATCGTTGCCACAGAATATTCTTCACACTTTAGAACTTACCTGTGCTTGCAGTGACAACTATTATCAGTCTCGTTCCCGACTCCCCCGTTAAGGCAGTATTTTGATTTTTCAGTAATAGATTCCGACTCTTCCGTCGTAATAATGGGTAAATTGTTACGTAACTCTGCTGTCTTCGTAAGTTTATTCATTTCTCTCTCTTTTGCTAGCGCTTTGCAATCCGAGACTATCCCGGCATTATACCGTGTGACTATTCCATGTACATTTCTGTTATATTGCCCATGGTAGGATACGAACTGCGAAGGAAGGCCCGAAGAATCCCCATTTTTTGGAAACGACCATATCCATCTGTGCACCCAATCAGACCAGTATATCGTGTCACGGTCTACGGCGATGTAAACCAATTGCTGATAGTCAACGCGAATTACCAGCTCGCGATCAGTACCATCAAGATTGCTGCGTTCAATCTCACTGTGCACAGCATTGCTAGCGTCGGTCCAGTAGAGCTTCCCTTCGGCATGATCTATGGCTATTGCTAATGGCTTGTACATATCTCCTTTAACAATAGTAACTCGATCGGTTCCATCAAAATTCGAGCGTTCTATGCACTGGTTCGTTTTATCACTATTTACCCAGTATATGTGACTAGAAACAACATACAATCATCAGATATGCGTGATCCTGTATCCGACGCTCATTAAATCTTGTTTCTCATACTGCATTTTAAAAATCTGTTTTTTCTTTATATTCGTTTGGCACATGCATTTGATTTGAACGACAATGTGAATTAAATTTAAGAGGCAGATGGAGCGATTTTTGTAACACCCGCGTTTCCGTAGAGATAAATGGCACACCTGTTACATGGGTCCACAGCGATACCATGCAGATTCTTGCCCTCTATTTTGTGGAGAACGATAGGCTTTCCCGGTGGTCCGTCCAAAGGCACGTGCATTCTTATGATCGCTTCTTGTGTAGTGTCAGTCCAGAAAAGATTTCGCGTTTTATCGTCATAGGCAAGTCCTACGATATGGCTATTTCCTATTGTTGGAGATAAACAATAAATTATTAGAAACAGTGTCTTCTATCTCATATCTTTTTTAGCGGCCTCATTCAATCTCGTCGAGTCAAAATAGCTTTGGTGTAAAAAAATGAAAATTTCGCACTTACTAAATGTATAATATATTCTTTTTAGAAGGTCAATTTTTGAATTTTCCTTTACCTCCTGAATACAAGTGATAACAAATGATAAAAAGGTACATATTGATCATTTTTAATTTTAGGCCATGTTGAAATAGGACCACTTAGCAGGACCACACACACACACACACACACACACAAGATTTTTTTTCTACATACATATATGAAATTTGCGTTATAATACATAAGTAGATATTACTTGTGAGAAAATTACAGTTAAAGATCACATGATTGCTCGCATTTGCTACTGATAAAAATATTTTTCACGTTCAATATGTAAATCTTTTTGACAAACATCCGAATACTTTTTGCCGAGGGTAAGTAATGTCTCTTAGGAAAAGCACAAGCTCTGACGAATCGAATGTTTACATACAGATGTTTTTTTTTTATAAATCCCTGGCTTCTCCACTTCTAATTGGAAGATTGCGAAATTAGATGTCTTCTTCCCGTTGAAATAATAAATACTTAAACATGAATTTATGAAGAGTAGATTGTTATAATACAAATACAATAAATTCTCCATAGTTAACCCTCAGCTTGTAAACAAAAATGGACAATTTGGGAAGAGGAAGTACTATTTTCCAGTTTTGCAGCTCGTTTTTATAATTGTTAACAATCGGTAACTATAAAAACGAGCCGCAAGGCTCGTATAATCGTATCTCCTCTTCCCAAATTGTCCATTTTTGTTTACAAGCTGAGCATCAATGAGGGAGAATTTACTGTAAACCCAACTGGCCTAGTCAAGATCATTTTTATCTTAGATTCTAGTTTTGCTCTTTGTCTAAGGATGATTATGATAATTCTAATAGTCCAGTATTTTTGTGGCTTCACATGAACCAATACTAATTGGCTTTATAATAACAACAGTTAAATTTAATCACACAAAATCTTGTAAATGATTCTAGTACAGGTTGTTAGAGCTGCAACCTTGACTCTTTGGTATCTCAGGATCTCGAGCCGAGATTTGTTTGCAAAGAAAGAACTGGTATGTAAATATTCGAATAGAATACTTGCCAGTTTACCGATGTGTATTTTTTGAAAAATATTACGAATACAATCGTTACAAGAAGACTAGTTTAGAAATTAGCAATAAGATATTTCTCGCAATTTGCAATGTTTACTTTTGTCTCAATAGACCCGTTGCGTCATAAACTCGACACTTCCGAGGGATCAAGCCGAAACTGTAGCAGTATTAGAGGTATAATAATTCATTTTCCATGAAAACATTATAAAAAGTTTTTGCGGCATTACTGAAATACATTGATCGAAAATTATGATACAACTTTTAAACGATGACAATATACGGTATGTACGAAAAATATGTTTCAGTGTTTAAATATTTTCGTGTATAATTTTCTATTTTTTTAAGTTTTATCATATATATGCATATTATTTATAGACTAATTTATACTATTAAGGCCTTCCGAGTTCCACCAAATTTTTGTTTTCAGTAAAAAATAAACGTATAATATCGAAATTATAATAAAACAAAATGTGCGAATTTTTGACACCATAACAAACTAATTTTTCCTACGTTTTGGTTATCTCGTTTGGTCTACATTTGGTTTCTCTTGTTACAAGCCGATGGCTAGGTTTTGTATATCGTGGACTAGCCGATGTACCGAATGCCACAGGATAAGTAATGGTGAACTGGCTAATGTCTTTTTTCAGCATCGGATAATGCTACAGGTAAAACGGTTAAAATACAGTGGGACTTCGATAAAACTGCTTCATTAGGCATAGAAAATGTATGTAATTTATACAACTCGAGACGATAACTGAAAGTAGAAACACGTCACTTGGCCGTACTTGCCGTAGAAACAAAATAAACAATTGGGATGACCTATCTATAAGAATACACTATTGTATACAAGATGTCTAAAAAGTGTTCGAATTAAATAAAATGGGTAATTCCTGAGGTCAATTGAGAAGACACATTTTCCATAACTAAAATGTTCACCGTTGCTTAACGCATTAAATGCCGAAAATCAATCTCAAAAGTTTCCTCATTATCAAAATCATTTAATTAATGAAACCGAACGTAGAAAGTTAGGATCTATCATAATGGACCGTACTTGAACTCTTTTGCATTCTAAGCATCGAATATATTAGAATAAAAAATTGTGACCGACGCGACACTTGACGTATCAATTCGGCAGGCAACCACATTACTCGGTGATTAACTAGGCAGACACGTTCTATGAAAGACCAGCTAGCAGTCACGACAGCCAGGCGGGTTTGAAAGAAAATCTGCGTGTTATTAGCGATCAGAACGCTGCATAACTTGTGCATCGTATTGCGAACTGTTGAAATATTTGTCCCTATTCCCCTTATCTCGCAGTTTATATTGAGGTATTTTACGATCAACAAATGAAAAGATAACGGAAAAGTATTTGCAATTCATATGCTTACCTTTATATAGCGGCTTCGTCGTGACATCTCCCTCCAACAGGTTGCTACTAAACAGAGGAACCGTGCTGTTTGTGTCGGAGAGAAATAGCGTCTGTGTAGAATCATCGTAGACGAATGCAGCCAGTGAACTAGCTTTTTCGAATTCGATTCGTCTAGTTAGCGATTGATTTTGAGAAAAAAATTCGATTTCTCGTCCAATTGTTACCGCTAAATCTGTAATGAAGACGGAAAGAAACCGGGTCAGCGAATTGCACTTCTTTCGACGAAATTATATGCATCATTCTAAATGACACTACAGCTTTAGATACAGTTACACATATAGAATGAAAATATTATAAAATACAAAATCGGATGAAATTGAATACAGTTTTATTTTAGTTTTGGATTCGCCGAAAGCATTAACGAGAATAGACGATTTTGAGAGTATATATATTTGTGAGAATTACAATTATAATTGTACATATTTAAACGATTTCTCAACTATTCAGATCTGCGATTTAATAAATGGTGATCCGAATGGCGTTAAGCGTGATTACGCGCGTCTATTATACACAGAGTCAAAAAAGTTACCGCACACATTTTGAAGTGCAATGACTTTTTTAAAACTGCACTAAATGACTTAAATGTATTTTAGATGATAGAGGGGCTAGTATACTAAAAAATAATCGAAAGTTTTTATTTTTTAAATTTTGCTATTATGTACTTGAGAAATGTACTATCTAATGAGAAAAAAAAGAGGAACTTCCGTTTTTTAACTTTTTGCTCTCACTCTATAACGAAAATTTAAAAAATGTATTTCGTAGATCCCGGTAAGTACGAGTTGTAAACAATTGAAGATCGCGAACGTCACAGTTTTGTCTTGATTAAAAAAGATGAAAACGAGAGATTTTTTTTGTCATTCCAAGTTACAATAAAATTAAAAAAAAAAAAAAAACATTTTAGTCATTGTCTAGTTTAGACTTGTCTCTCTGTTATCTAAAATAAATTCAAGTCACTTAGTGCAGTTTGAAAAAAGTCATTGCGTTTCAAAAGGTTTATGGAAACTTGTGTATACGAACGTGTGATGCAAATTTTCTCGTCGCTAATGAATGCTAAAGACTATCAGAGTTAACATTATGAATCTGCAATTCGCAATGAATTTTTTCAATCCTATGTTGTTCTGCGTCTTTTCACAATTGTACACACAGAAAAGATATTGATATCGGAATATTGATTGCTGGGGTTGAAGTGTATAGTCCCGTTGTTATTGCAACATTGTAGAATTATATGCGAAGGACATCAAATTACAATGATAATACGGTGCAAATTAACCTTTCACGCTTTGGCTAATATCGTTCATTAAAAAGCACTATCTTCTTTTTTCGGTTCATACGATTCAATTTCCCCTTCCCGCGTTTTCGCACAAGCCGTGGCTTCAGATCCATTCGAATTCTTATGCAGTCATTTTTTTTCTAACACACTGTTTAGCTCGCGTCAACGTTAATCTTTTCGTAGCACCTTATATAATCAGTTCATCATTTGATCTGGTTACTAGAAAATTAGAATTTATGTGGAGCATTTGTAGATCCAGGTCTGAATAGACATGGGAGGCCCAAGAAGAAAGCAGATACTAGCAGCGATAATCCTCTTTTCTTATCGGATAAACGCTATCCATAAATCTGTTAACAGTAGCTGAGTCGCACATCAATCAAGTCACATCATCATGACAGACAGCTTGTTAAAAGACAACTAAGGAACATCTGACAATTAAAGGCTAAATGTTATCGCGATCACTTTATTACGGCTGTTGATGAGAAGCGATCAGAACTCATAAATGGCGGACGCCGCTATCACGTTACCATTAACCATTATGCATGGTGCAGGATGTCCGTATATTAAACAAATTTTATAACTTTTGTTGGAATTTTGTAATTTTGACTTACGAACAATTTGTCAAAGTTTGAATAAAAAGGAGCTCTTATATCGCCATACACGAATGGGTTACCAAAAAGATGATAAATAAAAAATAATAATTGTTAAATGCTAAGAAAAACTTTTGCTTTATCATTGTGTAAATCGAAAACAGTGTACATTGTATACATATGTACAATTAAAATAATGTTAATTATGGATAGCAGACAAGTAATTGCATTGAATCGAAAGCAAAAAGAAAACGTTCACGATCTTGACATATTTACATGTATCCATTAGAGCTTCCACAGTGTCCATTCATAGACTAATACGTTATCTAATAAAATTCATTCTAATACAAGAGGTCTAAAGTTTATTGTGCCGTAATAACAAATCAATGAGTTGTACACATTTTACAATTGTAGGAGGGGAAATTTGTAACCTCAACCTGTTGACCTAGCTATATGTATAATACCCATGTGTATATCAATCATTAAATAATCGCAGACATAAATTATAAATGGATAAGGTAGTACGCATGTATCTCGTTCAGCGAGAAGTGTACATGCGTCATGTATCGTAATCATGCCAATACGATTATAAAGTCATATATTGAAATGGATCAAATACGCGGGAGATCGGAAAAATCAAGAAAATATAAAGTAAACGACCAATTGATCTCGATTGTCGCGTCGATCCTCGGAAGAAGGATAGTTTTACTAATGTAAGAAGCGGGTAACAGATTCAAATCGACCCACAGTATGTTTGTTCGCTTATTAAATTGATCAAAAGCCAACAACAGAGGGGCTGAACTGTACTGAATAAGTTATCTACAGAGTAGTAAAAGTACTTGGAAATATCTAGTACAAAATGAGCAGTATAAAGTTCAGGAAAGTTTAATTTGATTATGTGAAACTTAAT